CTTCTTTAGCCTGCTGCCATCAGGGAGGAGACTGCGGAGTCTCCAGGCCAGGACCAGCAGACTGAAGGACAGCTTCATTCATCAGGCTGTTAGGAAGCTGAACTCCCTCCCAACCTTTCAACAAGTAACATTTTCACTTTTTAATTTTCTTGACCAACATCCTGTTAAAAATAAACCACTGCCGGCACCACTGAATAAATAGTTTGACATGTCAGTTCACCCTCATATAGTTTAAAATCAATATTTTGAAGACTATTTCTTCAACTAAAATTAATAGGAGATTCATTTTAATTAGCTATGTATCTGTCCCTGCTTTCAACTCGTTTCAAATAAAGGAGAGTTTTCAAACTTAAAGTCAAAAGAGCACTTGGAATATACTAATGTGTGGACCTTTATGATATTTTTAAGCTTGAGTGCGCATTTACAGTAATTGCATGGAAAACAGCGACAAAGACAGTCTTACATGTTTTGAATATCATGAGTGTCAGTAACTGATGACAGAATGTTTATTTTTGGGTAAACTATACCTTTATCAGTCATTTTCTTCCACACATTAATTATGATCTACAGCTAGCAGAGCTTGCAATGCTTCAGTCTCGTGGGTGAGCTGGTTGTTGTAAGCTACCGAATGGAAGTTTTTTTTTACCTTGAAATATCAGTTTCAAAATCATTCTGATGATATACTGACTTTCAAAAAGGGGCGAATGGATTCTTCTTTTTCTTTCCAAACGTCTGTTCTGTGAGTATGTAAGTTTAGTGGGTGCAAAATTCTGCCAAAAGGGCGGATTGCTTTTACAACAGTGAATTCCACTCACTTAACGGTAAGGATCTCCAAAGTCACAAAAATACACACAACTACATGCATTTGCTTTAAAAGCCAACTACAAATCTTTCTTTGTCAAAATGTAGATTAATGATATACTTACTATCAGGTGGTGCGAATTGGTTGCTGTTGCGTCTCACAGGTTTTCCAAACTCAAGTGATTCGAACTCTCCTTCTCCTTCATCTAGAGGTCTGCGTTGTCCTTGAGATACTAATAGAGGAACAAAGCAATATCAACAGAAAACTGTAAGTCTTCATTTGTTTAAATCTCAATGAAAAATATTTCTAAAAAAATATATGGATAGGCCTGTGAAATAAGTTCCTGATTTAATACATTTCAAAACTCTATCAATAGCATTTGTGGAATACGGTCAATTATGTGAGCAGTGAAATATGTAAATATGTACTTTTGTTGTGCAAATACTGTATGTACTTTCATTGAAAGTGCATTACTGTAACTGGGTCATCAAGAGAGCTTAGGGTAAACCTACAACATTAAGATATTTTTTGACGTAGCAGTACTTACACCCAGGAGAAGTTAGCTCTACGTTGCTGTGTAGATTATGCTCTTCTCCAGTAGTTTGGATTTCTTGCTCTTTCTTTGTCGTTCCTCCCTCTTTGGACTCCAGTTCCTTCTCTCTTCTACTCAGATCTTCCTCCTGCCTTAATCTGTCCTCCACTTCCTTAAGTTTTTGCTCCAACTCTCTTTCTTTGAGTTTGTGTTGCTCCAGTTCTCTTTGG